CCTCTAGAAACAAGGCTGTCTCACAGTTTAACCATCTGTCAGATTAAAATTTAAATTAGAATTTAAGTTTTACATGCAAATTATTCTTTTAATACGAAAATTATTCTTTGGCGTGTCTTTCTGCAAATTATTCGATTATGTTTCTATATACGAAATATACTTTTGTGTTTCAATATGCAAATCACTCTTTTGTATTTCTATATGCAAATTATTAAATTGCGTTTATATATGCAAAATATTCTTATTTATTTCTGTATCCAAATTTACCTTTTGTATTTTAAATACAAATTATTATCTTGTGTTTCAATATACAAATTATTTTTTTATGTTTCTATATGCAAATTTATCTATTTGCATTTCTATATGCAAATTATATTGTATTTTAGTTGTTTTTTTCTCGCCTGTATTTTCATTGGAGTACTTCTTTTACTGACCTCTCATTTCTTTAGAGGTCACACCGACATTTTTTTTTCGCTTGCTCTTCCATTGTTCTGGGGTCAATAGCTCACACAATAAGATGTGTCCATTGTTCAGGCTGTTCTTTGCTTTTCATTACTTTTGCTTCAGCCCGGTTTCGCCGAGCTGCCAACATGGCTATTAAGCGAAATGATGAGCTATGGGACTTCATTGCTAAACAGAGAAGCGAATCATCGCGTTAACACTCGCGAGATTCTCGCTGTAAACAACGCGTTTCTTTTGGTGAATAAGAAGGAATTAACATCACATGTTGTTCAAGAGTTCTTTGAATCCAAAATATACTTTACCGTTTCTATCCATTAACGGAAACAAAATCTTAGAATGTCTGATAGGCCTTTTCTTCAACTCTCGTGATAAATAGAACTAGATTCTAAAAAAAAAAAAAAGAAAAGATAAACAAGAAAATTTCAGTTTAAAATAAGAGATGAAAAACTATTGCATTGACAGAATTGACTGGAAATATTTAAAATTCCAGTCAAAACATCTGTTATCCTAGTTATGACCTAATATAAGGCATGAATATAATACTTCCTATTTTCGTTGCTTAGGATACACACACTTCCTATTCTGGAGAGGAGTAAGAATCCGTTAAATGAGACAACTTCCGGATTAATACTCGCAGAAGCGAGTATACCCGGAACTATGTTTAGATTTTGGATGCTAGTATAAAACAGGACCTATGACTACCTTTTCACTCTGGGGTGAACCGAACGTATGTTTAACTTTTTCACTTTTGAGTAAATCAAACAAATGTCTACTGTTTTCACACTTGGGTTAACCGGACCCATGTCTACCTTTTTCACTCTTGAGTAAACCAGACGAATGTCTACCTTTTCCACTCTTGGGTATAGTCTGCACGAATTTGTCGTTGCTTGGAAATCTTCCATGTAAACAGAAACAGACTATCATCACTGTTTTGTCCATGTATTTCTTAATATATTGTAATGTAATTGTCATCTTTGATAATGGCTTATTTAAGCCGAAAACTTACATAGGATTAAAAAATATGTATCAATATTGTGATTTTCTTTCTTCGTTTAATGATAATTTTATTAAGCTTATCAGACGATATGAAAAGAATTTACATAAAATAAATAGACAACACTTGTCTATATTATTTAATGAAACATGCATCAATGAAAAAATGCTGCCTAAATACACACACAATATATATATCGTTTCATATGGCTCAGATTCATGGACTCCATACAGGTACCATATACGCCAGCTAGATGTTTTCCATAAAAGCTGTCTGCGTGCAACCTGTGGAGTTAAGCTTCAAGATGGGACATCTAACGTAGACCTGTTTAACAGGTGTAATATTGGAGGAATCGAGACTTTTATCATACAGTCTCAGCTACGGTGGACTGGTCATGTGTTGAAAATGTCTGATGACAGGATACCCAAGATCCTAATGTACAGCCAGTTAGATCAGGGCTACAGGAATGTAGGACGCCCATGGCTAAGATGCAAAGACAAGCTGAAAATCAACTTGTCAGCAGTCAATATACCACATAACACTCTTGAGCACTTAGCTTTGGAGTGGGTAAAATAGAGATCAACGAGTTTTAGTGGACTCAGCAGTTTTCAATCTGCTTGTCTGAATCAGCTTCAAGAAGCGAGAGCAAGATCTAAAAGGTCAGCCAATCTAACAGTGATCTCATCTCACAATCCTCACACTTGCTCCATATGTGGCCTCCTTTGTAAATCACTAGCGGGCCTTAAATGCCACTTAAGATTATCGCACAAAATTACATAACTGAATCAATAAGCTGTCAGATCCTCATACGTCGAAACCAACGGGAGAGTCCATTATATATATATATATATATATATATATATATATATATATATATATATATATATATATATATATTCAAATAGTTCTTCAGATGAAATAATATTTTTCTAGATATAAATCAGACCAAGAAAGGCCAAGAACAACGATAAAAAATATTAGCTGAATTTTTATTTGTTGCTTCTTGTTAATTTTATAATTATGAAACCAAATCGTTTAATTTTC